AATTAATATATAAAGCTCTTCTATAATTTTTGGAATTTGTACAGTAAACTGTTGTCCTTGTATGAAAAGACGATTTTTTTGCAGTATTGCTCATTAATTATGTTTGAATTTCCTACATAAATATTTTAGTAATTCAACAATATTATTTTCAGATCTATATGTAATTAAATTTTTAGATACTTTAGCAAAATTATTCTCTCCGTCTACTGTCGATTCCAGCAATTACAATAATTTAATTTGGTCATTCAACCGCGCTAATTAAAGCCGTCTTTGTAAAAATAATCACAGATTTCAATGCGAATAATATGATTTTTGATAAAGATGCATTTATTCTCGATTTTTACTTATTAACGTCGTTGTTCGCGTTTACGGTTCATTTTTATTACATAACACGTTTCATAGTTTACGCTTCGATGTGTCTCTCACATGGATAAACTCTCATCATCTGTAGTAAATATTACAGTACTTCGCAAACTTTTTCCAATATTTATGATACAAGCTACTCGCTCAGGCAGTAAATATTATGCATCGTATCATACGAGTTCTTGCAAACGAATATTAAAAGCAGAGAATAAGTACGAAGCTAATGTCACAGGTAAAAGCTACGTTGGCCTTTATCGATCACGATCGTTGACCGCGTCATATAAGGCGTCTCGGTATTTTTTCTCCATTCCTTGTCGTAATCGCGATTAATCAAGCATGTGAAATAAGATATTTTTCCTAAAGCTCCCCAAATAGCGAGATGACGTTTTAATGACATTTTGTTGACATTAAAAGCGTCATTAAGACTTTATTAAGACGTTATTTGACGTCATCTTGCTATTTCTAATGGGTCTAATGTCATATATTTTAAGAAAATTTCTAAATATAAACTTGGACTGTTATATTCTTACAATTGCATCCACGTCAAAACCACATTATACATACATAAACTCGGGCGTATAATAGTTCGAGTTTATATTTAGAAATTTTTCTTAAAAACCTGGACTATTATACGCCCGAGTTTATAATGCGGTTTTGACGTGGATGCAATTGTAAGAATAACAATGAAATAAACCTGGCAGACGATTAAATAGACTTATCCCGCAAAACACAAATTATACCCAAAGAACAAATAAAAATGAATAAAAAATCAAAATGATTTTATTTTTATTCTTAACGTCAATAAACAATTAAATTTTATAATCAAAAATATAATCTTTTTGACTTTCGTGATGTCAAATAAAGTCATTTTAATCTTCTCTTGACTTGGCGTGTTTCTTGGGTAATTAATAGTAGCATCCATACTATAATTTTTCATTGAATAATATAAGTGTAACATAACACATGTTGTACATAACAGTTACATTTTCGAATTGTAAATAGCAAATTGTAATATTGATATAATGTTACCAGTTTGTGTTCTGTGGAACTTTAGGAATTTTCAAAAATTGTAATGCGTCTTTTTTCGTCGATCTTATCACAAAAGAGAGACGTATTATTATTTCATCTCCAATAGTTGTACTGAAATCAATATCAAGCTCTCAAGGATGAATTAATAATGAAACTGAATTAAAATAGATATACGTTTTATCAAGTTTTAACAAGTCATTAGAAGTACGATTTTAATCGAATATTTTGTAAAGATATTAGTTATAGGGTGAATGAAATAGCTTGAAGGTATGTTAGATAAGTGAGGGTGAAAAAGTGAAAGAGGTATATGGACTCCACTGCGTCGTGGAAAAAACTCGACTGTCGTGGATAAACCGGGGTAACGAATGAACAACGTCACGCAAGCCGCGCACTATACCTGAAGATTCTTCGTATTACCACAATGCCTTACGATTAACTTATCGCTAGATCACGTCCATACACATCTGAATTCATTTCTCGGAAAAAGGTTCGCGAAATGCTTTTTAACTTCTCGATCTAACAAACACGACTTTCCTCAATTCTTTTGCCAGCATGTTGCGTCACATATTAATCGGCACAGTTGATTTAAAGTCTTCTAAATCTTTTCCAATATTTCTTTGTAATATTATTAATTACGATTTATTTGAGACTGCAATTAATTAATGATAATATGTTTTATTATTATTCTTGAATATGTGATAATATATTATTTACATATTTATATTTTGGAAATTAAATGTAAAACTTATTGAATCCAGAAATTTTTGTCAAGTAATAATTATTCAAATTATTACATTGAAAGATATTATTTAAATATACAATTTATAAAATGTTTTATTTAAAATTACATTAACAAAAGAAAATTAATGTAATAAAATCTATATTTTTTTATATCTGTTTCTCCTTATTAAATGTTTCTAAAATTGAAAAATATTTTTGGAATATCAAAATCGTGATTAAACATTTCAGAAATATTAAAATATATGTATATAACATTTTGCAATAAATATTATTGAAAAAGGCGGGCCATGACTCCCGTGGATCCGCCAGTGACTAGTTTTTTGAAAACTAAATGCAAAAAAAATAAAAGAATATAACAAGATTAGATTTTTTTTACGTAATGTCTATAAATTATGGAACACAAGTTCATCGAGTGTATGAGAGATCGTGTTATTGTTTTAGAGATTTGCAAGATTTTTACTGCTGCGCCAGAAAATCGCTGGTTTCTGATCACGTGCCCAGTAATGGGTCCCATTAGGGCTAGCAGATGAAAGTAGGACAGCAAGTACTTTCCGCTCACGAGGACAATTGCCCGCGTATAGTGTATACAGCTCTGCCGACTCAATTGCAGGACTTGTGATCGTTTAAGAGGAGGGCAAAGCATCTGTCCGGAAATCGTTATCAGTAGTAGAGCCTTCTAAAATCACTATATACTAAAAGTATTAAAGTATTTCACGTTTTAAAAGATCTCAATCGTTTTTGCACTCACGTATTTATTTTATTTTTATTCGTTTTAATCCTATAATTGTAGAAACAATGATTGCTTTCCTTTTAGAAGATACAGTCGACACGAATGTTATTCTATTTTTGTTATTCATCGAATGCTAAGAGATATAACGATGTGTTGACTGTCCTCTGAAAAGAAAGCAGCCTTATACTACCTATCATCTTTGTTATTATAGTCATGAAAAATAAACAAAATCTGTTTATCGCGAATTGAACTTTAGAGATGTGTACGAATAAATTTTCCTCCTCACTTCGCAAGTAGGTTTCGTTTCAACGGAGTTATTCTTACCTCGGCATTAAGCATTCCGTGATTATTAGGCCCAGCTCCTTCAATGTAAGATTAAAACCCATAGCACAAAAACGTAAAACAATAAGACGTAAACAGTAAGCGAATCGGCTAATCACAGCAAAAAATGTAATTATTATTATATTACATTATCTGCTGTGATTAGCCGATTCGCTTACATCTTGTTGCCTTACATTGTTCTCTGTATTTTTAGCTTAACTTTAATCTCGATGCAATTTATCTTCTTTTAATTCTTTTAAGAAATTAAAAAAAGAATTAAAAAAAGATAAACAGTAAGTTAAACAAAGATTAAAATTAATCTTACATTGATGGGACCGGATTTTAACGATTACGCAAAAGGTGCGAACGTTTACGCGCGCAGAACTTACGTGATCTCGCGAAAATAATTGCGGAAAATGCAAGCATAATCTCTATCCGCTATGTGACGAACGGCGACGATCGCTATCATACCCGGGAAGAGCGCACCGAGAGAGTTCGTACGACCTGGCTGTGTACACGTCCGCAGACAACTGTTCAGACCGAAATTGGCCGTCTGCGACGACTGGAAGAATGTCGAGACGAAAAAAAAAAAGCGAAAAAATTCCTCCGGCTAGCCGTCGTATCTCGCATGTCTCCGCACGACCTCCCGAGGTCATTCAATTTGGTGGCGATCTTAGTTCGCAGACCTCGTCGTCGCGACTTACGACCCGCAAGAGACACCGGCGAACAGGGCAGCAGAAATTAATTTGTATGCACGGCATGCGAGTGCAATCGTTTCGAATGAGTCTGTCAAACCGGCGCTTAACGTGGACATTCTCTCTTCAGTGTCGCGAATATGTCTTTCTATCTCGCACTACAGTTTCCGAATTTTGCAAATCTGATAAAATCAGACAGATTGTGGCCCATTCGAGACTTGATGGACTTTAATCGATCGATTTATATGAAATAGAGTTAAAATTCCAATTTGATATGTTAATAATTTCGCAATAATTCGATATCTTTATGAAAAAATAAAACGAAGATATTAATATCGACGAATCGCTTATTTCTTAATCGGCAAAGTGCAAAAACAGATATAATTATATAAAAAATGTTAAAATTAAAATTAAAATTGAAATGCAGTTAGAAAGATATAATTTTCTTATTTTTATCTAAATAAAAAAAAACTTTTTTAATAAATTGCATGAAAGAAAGGTAAATTTGTAATCTCTTTTGTATGATAGTAATGAACTTAATATTACCCTTTTATCAAGTAAAGAGATTATTGAGAAAAAGATATATATATATATAAAATTATATTAAATAGGATTTTCCTATGAAAGTTATTCGTTTATTTAATTTAATTCTCTTGCTAATATTTATATGCATCAATAAAAAAGAATTATCAGTTATATATTAAATAATAATTAAAATTAATTAAGATCAACTAATAATCAATCTTAAACTGTAGCTTGCGTGAACAGGTTACAAATTCAATCTCTAAGCACCCACGTCAACCAATTACTAGTTGAACGATGGTGCGAGACGATTTGCACTCGATCTTCGGTGGAGTGCACAGACAAGACACGTCGCTTTCCTTGAGACCGATTGCTTCCCTCACTCGTCGCCCTCCCTCCTTGATCTGTTTGCTTTCTTCGCTATCCCCCGACCATACTTAAATAAGGGGCAGCAAGCACGGGAGAGAAAGAAAGAGAGAGAGTACGAGCCACCTTACGCTAGTTCGCTAGGGACCTTCTGTCGAGACGGAGAACCGAACCTCTCCGGGGACAAGTCTTCGTGACAATTGTGATCAATCAGGCTGGCATTGTTAGAAACGTGACTCGTCGGCGACCGAGCGGTCGAGACGTGCCTCGTCGATCTTCTCATAGAGAGGAGTGTCGGATTTGCGCTCGCGATCATTGCCTATTACTATACCCGCCGACTCTCTCCATAAGTTTATAAAAAGCTAACGACTCGATAAAAAAACCGTTCGGTCCGAGGCAAAACAAGATCATTATTTAAGTCACCACAAAATCGAGTTATACAGGATCAAGTAAATTCAAGGATCTCAAGCGAGCGATTATATTGGAGACACTTTCGTCGAAGAAAAAGAGTCCCAAGGGGACAAGTATACATGACTGTGATCCACGCAATCTAAGCAACAAGCTAAGAATATTAAACCGCTTACTTCGTGCTGTTTTACGTGCACGAATTTATAAGATCCTGGTGTCCTGGAGAACCAAAGAATCCAGACTGCAAGTCGATCCTCTGATCGCTGTTTTAGCGAGGGATCAATCAAGGACGGGTTCCCTACGTTCGATCAAACGATCGCTTTCGGGACAGGTGAAGAAGAACAAGGGGAAACTAGCGCGAGGTACTCGTCCGGCATCAATGCATCCCAGACAGCGGGAAGGGTTGATCTTGCCCGGAAGTCAACGTTGCCTCGAGACGGTGGCCCGATATCGTCTACGAAGTTATATCATGATCGTTTCCCCATGAGAGATCGTTTCACCACCCTCGCCATCGTCGTAGCGATCATCATTGTGATCAAGTCCCACCTGCTGTGTCCGCGACTACGTTCGGCGTCGTCGTTCGAGAAAAAGTGCCAGACTGTGATACTACCCCGTGTGATAGAGAAATCGTCTTGTGATCCCGCGTTTTACCTCAACGTACTCAGTAAGTTACATCTTACCCGCCCTCCTACCTTCGTTCTTATCGGACTCGTGCCCTCTGCTGCGTAGAAACTAATTATAATACGAGGAAGAATATAATTCTTCCGTATAAGCTCAAGATTGATCCGTTCGATTCGATCGGTACTTAATTTTCCGGTTATTAACATCAGATAAAACGTGGAAAACGGATTTTGAACGGTTCCTGATAATTGACAATTTATTTGCTGTTTGGACCGATTTGAAACCAGACCCGTGAGATACAACATTCTTTTTCCTTTTGTAGATATATTTTGTCTAAAAGGAAAGAAAAAGTTTTATCCGCTTACAAAAAAATATTACTTTGCGATTAATTTCAGTAAATATCCAATACTTACAGCTAAATTTATCGCACTAAATATGCAATATCAGGTATTTTATTTTAATTCGATATCGGCTTGACATTTATTTTAAAAAAGTCAACTTTGTGCTCTTACAGAGTGATAGCTGTATAAGCTGACAGACACTTTAGCTTAATATAATTTGACCTACCGTTATCTTCCAAGATTCGTTCCAGCTACTTTAAATTATCGCTTCAAATCAGAATCGTTGCGAGGAAGAGAAAAAAAAGAAGAAGAAGAAGAAGGAGAGAGAGAAAAAGAGAGAGAAGAGAGAGGAGAGAGAGAGAGAGAGAGAGAGAGAGAGAGAGAGAGAGTCGATTATCTTGAATCTCGAATTATTCGGGGACAACGGGCTGACACTAATTCTAGTCACGCATGGCCGCCTCAAGTGCTATGCGAGTCTTCCTCAAATTGACATATATGAGCGCAGCACGTTTGGTACTCGTGCACCGTGCAATTGTATTATTAGAGAGTGCATCTGCCTCTTGAAGTCTCATTTGTCCAAGCCATTTCTTCAAATTATATGTTGACCCGATGACGCAGCCAATTAACGATCACGCACAAAGTGATGAGCGAGAATCATTAAATTTAAAACCGTCTCTTGCAACTTCGATACGTTTAATCATTATCCTCTTCTCAATGCTGCCGATTTTTAATCGCAAATTCACGCGTCGGGGATACCGTGCGGAAAATACAATTAACTCTCTTTACAACTTCATGTTACTCGCATTTCTTATCGCTCATAATTTATAACGTCTAAGTTCGCGATTCCATTACTCAATATATTCTGCCTAATTGCATGAGATTCCCTGTACAAAGAATGAAGTGTAATTGATTGAATTACTAAGAAATATCCGAACGATACTCTCATTTCGAAATCTGAGAAAATCTTCCGTTTTATGATAAGAAGGAGCGACAATATTTATCACTCAAAAACTTGTTCTCTCATGACATTTTTGTATGTTTATATAAATACACTTTGCAAAAAATCATTATCGTATGCGACACGTGCGGATCAATGTTTACGACGTGCTAAGAATACGATGTAATTCTCTCATTCAAGAAATCGTATACATTAGACAAACTCGAATGAACTCTGAATTAAATTAAAATTTGTATTTATCTCTAATGATTCATACACAACAATACTAAATTCTCTCGGTTGTATTTCAAGAAATCCGATGGAGATGAATTTCCTCTATATGACATACATTAAGAAATTGATAATTCAGCTTTGAAGATTAAGAAACAAATAAAATAAAGTAAATAAGGTAATCAAAGATTTTCGTTGACATTCGATTTATATATTTATCGCAATCGTTTGTACACACTTAAAAAATTAAAAATAAAACAGATGCTAAATTTATATGTAACTCTAAACTAAAAGAATTATTCTTGTTTACGGTATTTAAATATACGATGTTTTTGTTCATATTTCTATACTGAAGAAAAATATTCTAAATTTTATTAAATATAAAAATATATTTATTTGATACAAAAACTATTAATTTAATTTAATTATTATTTCTTTTTATCGAATAAATATTTATTTATTGTAAACAAATATTTAGTTGGCGCTATTCAAATAAAAATATTTATTAAAATTTAGAATATTTTTCTCAGCAAAGTCTTAAATCTTTAATCCGCACAGCAACGATGCGAACGGTGCGAATCCAAATGCAATTGAGGCGAATTAGAATCCCTTTCTTTCCTCGTGATCTTATAGGCTGTCCAGGTAGTAAGCTACGTCATTTTGTTGTCATTTTGTCGTCATTTTGTCGTCATTTTCACGTCAACTTGCTACCAGGGTGTGTTCCAAAATTCACTGCCAGTTGAAAATGTATAGTATACGTAACTGTAACGTAAACTGCAGATTTTCATCGCTGGCAGTGAATTTTGGAACACAGCCTTAGTCGTTTCTCTCACACCTGTTTATTCGTTTATCAGAAAAAAAAAATGGAAAAATTTTCTAGCTCTCTGGTGTACGCGATCGCGCTCTAATCGGGAAAGTCGATCACCCCTGGCTGGTTCGCACTCGATCGGACGTAAGTGCGCTCCCTCGAGCGCGTATAAGTACGGCCCGTTTAGTATCTTTCCGAGTGTTATATACACGTGTTTATTACTCGTGTCTGCCGGCAGTACTTCGCAGATAATACCAAGAGAAAAGACGAGGACAAAAATAGAAACGCTCTGGACATATAAGAGAGAGTAGACATGAGAGAAAGGAACGAGAGTGAAAGAGAATAGCCCGTGAGTGATGGAGAAGCGGAGAAAGGGAGGGCGATCAAGACGACGCTCCGGAACGAGTCCTCTTTTCAATTTACGGGACTTTTCGCTATCGTGAAATGCGTCTTTTCTCTTGAGAGCGCCGGGAGGATCTGTGTAGTTCGGTATTGTTTACAATCGTTGGAGGCGCCAGACGAGAAGCCAATGAACGGCATACGCGTACGTTATCGACACGGTAATTGTTGTTCGGTCTCATTTTATGCAAATTTGAAATACGATACAGTATATCTCAGGCAACACAAAATATGATGCAGTGCGTATTCAAAGAAATCAATATATACTCTCTAAATCTTTCAGAGTGAATATCACTCGAAAGAGTAAAATCTCATTCCTAAAGACTGAAAATTGAGTCAGTCCTTTTCCAGACTGGATCAATTTTCACTCTTTCTAAAGTGAGATTCTATTTCTAAAAATTTAAAGAGTATTCATTTCATAAGGATCAATATTGTAATAATTTTTAATGAGGATAAGCTAAACGTATCTCGAATGCATTTTGAAAATTTCCTCACTGAAAATTTCATTCCTAGAAAAAATGATTTTGCTAAAAGATCTGAAATTTTTCTGGAGATGCTCTCTAAAATTTTTAGAGTGAATTTTCCTCTGAAGAGTGAAATTTTCCTCTTAAAGATTGAAAATTGAGCTACTCTCTTTCAAGTTTCACTCTTTAGAGTGAGATTTCACTCCAAAGAATTTAGAAAGTACAGATCTGAAAATAATTTTGTTGAATTATTAAAATAACTATGTTAGAAACTAAAAAATGATGAACAATGTTGCAAAACATTTTGATAATTAGTTTGAGTGTTTAACATAATTATTTTGACGGTCCAATAAAATTATTTTCATATCCAGCAAAATCGTTCTTTCTGTATGCGAGAGAACCAACTCTCCATCAGACGAATTATTTAATTTATATCTCTTGCGCAAAATATAATCGCAAAATTCGATCAACACATAATTTTAAATTTAATTCGTTTCATTCTAATTGATTGAATTCTAATTGAATTTTAATGCGTAATCCAATACAGGCTTTAAGCCCATGTCACAGTATGCATTGGAGATTAAGGATGTGAATTAAAGATTAAAATTTAGTCAGTAAAAACAAAACGAATTAAAATTAAAATTATCTGACTGGTCGAACTTTAATCTCTAATTCGCAATCTCCTATCATTCGATATTGGCTTTACGGATTATGGAACAAGACTGAGATATTAGGGAGTTTTTGCAATACCGTTCATCCAGATATGGTAAATACTAAGGTCAGGTTATCTTCTTTTTAACAACTAATTAAGAAAAGGATAACATGTCTTCAGCGTTTGCTAAATCCGGATTCATGTTATTGCAAACTACCTATTTTATCGTGCTAATCGAATATGTTGATTTTCGCCGATAAATTACATTGATATACCTCTTTTTTAAATTTTGTTTTGTCGACGGCGTGCGATCGCGCTTATCATTTTCGCGGTGAGATACCGCGAGTCTCAGCCGTCTGCATTCGCGCTCAAAAACACTTATTTACCTCGTCTGGTTCTATTTTTTGTCGGTCATCAGATACACAATCTTTTTTCACGACGAACGAAAAGAAGAATCAATCTTGGATATTTAAAAAAAATTGCGAATTTCCTTACAAACTGTCAATCTTGCGACTCAGTAAATATTATAATAAAAAAATAATAAGAGAGTCTCTAATATTGAGAGATTGACTAGTTGATTTTAACTCTCCAACCCTCACCTCGAAATTTTCGATCATATTTTACACTCTGGATCGTTGAGGAAAACAGCATACATTTTTTATGGTTCCGAATTATATCAAAATCTGATAAATCTGGAAAAATTTGGTACATTTGCAAAATCTTTAACAATAAATTTTTATTATAATAAAAATTGAACTGTATTTTATTTATTTTTTGCATATTGAAATCTAAATAAGAATTTTGAAAAAATGTGATACCGATTGTACTTTAAAAGGCACAAAAATGATGCTGGAGGGTTAAAAGATGCGAAAAGAGCTTTGTAATAATGAATGATCTAATCAATCTGTTGAATGTATAGAAGATGAAGCAACACTTCTTAAGAATTACAAGTTGCACACGCGTGTTTTCATCGTCGTGTTACTACTAATCGCGCGAAAAAGATAAATAGAGTTAGATAACTTCGACATCAACACGCACCGCTTCCTTCGGTTATTGCTTAGTGTTGAACGCTAATTCCCATCAGCACGAAGCGCCGGAAATAGAAGTTGTCTGCCCTATATTCGCGTAACTTGTTTTGAAGGAGGCAAGTCAATGTGTGTCTGCTACGACAACTCGGGTACGCGTTTACCTAATGATATTGCATACGCCAATCGATCGTGAATAAGTTTTATCAACCTAGAAACGACAAAATAATGCATATTGAACGAAAATTTAAATTAGACCGTGTCAATTGACGTATACACAGTGTGGCAATTAAAAATAATATTGATGACGAAAATCAATATTCTACTAGAATTAGTAGAAACGTTTATAATCGATTTCTTTTATAGTTAAACTGTCGAGACTAATAGCTACCGAGTAAGCCATTGGAAATGAAAGACCTTTCGTAAAGCTTCATAGAGAACTTCGAGAACGTAATGACAGAATTCATTTCAATATAAAATATATCTTACTGGAATCTTAATTCTCAAAGTTGAATTATCAAGATACTGAATATCGTAGAAAATAATAATTTTATATAATAATTTTAAATACATTTTATTTATTTTAAATTTAACGAAAAGTAGTCTTATGAGTTTACTTTCCAGATTGTTTTCTGCACCGTAATTATTTCTATTTTATAATTATTCTCTCTCTCTCTCTCTCTCTCTCTATATATATATATATATATATATATATATATACATATCTACAGAATTAATTTTTTAAACCTACATTGATAATATTCCAAATATTTTGAGATCGCGTAAAATTATTGTTTTGTGAAATTATACGGTGTTATACCGTAGTCTCGCATACATTCACATATCAAGGCCGCTGGCCTTATTTCCATTTTCGTTGATAACGCGACTAATCGAATGCGACGTAGCCTGCAAAACAAGTCAACATTGTTCTAATCCTATCACAGACAGCGGTCGCTGGTGGAACTTGGAGGAGATACAGCAGAAATACCGGTGACCTATCCCAAGCAAACTAGGATAATACCCTAGAAGCCATATCTCTGTGTATGTATGTGTGTATGTGTGTTTGTGTGTGTATGTGTATGTATGAGCTTTTACACATGAAAAGTTTACCTCATTAAAATACCCCCACACGCAATTATCTTTTTGTTCCAAAATAGCGCTATCTCATGAATGTAATCGAAATTCCCATGTACGCAATATTCCTAGAATGTTATATGAATATTATTTGTTCTTTTTAATATTCATCATATTCAAAGAATATTGTCTCGTAGGGTCACTTCAACGAGATGGATTCGGACATCTCTGAAATTAAGAGATTAAAAGGCACGAAACGATCATTGCGTCTCGTGTCCCTAAAGTAATAAAGGGAGGGAAAGGGCCTAGTACGTATTAGTCCGATCGAAGAATAGATCGCAATAATGCTGTCGTAAACGTGTGATGAACAAAGGTTGCTCTTATGGACAAAGCGCGAGAGGCGGCTTCTCTTTCTCTTATTCTGTCGGTGACTCCCGTTGCGACGCGACGCGTCGATTACACGACATCCGCGGACGAAAGTACGCGTCCTCTCTCTCTCTCTCTTTCTCTCTCTCTCTCTCTCTCTCTCTCTCGCCATCGCAAGATTTATAATTAAGTGAAAGATATCTAAAAATAGAGGCACCCTGCACAACCGATGGAATGCCGCGCGCCGTCGTGGTTATATACATACAAGCATTCAATTAATCCCGATAAACCGGACGCAACGCCGAGTTTCCCAAGGCGAGGTCTGATGTCGAATCACATGATGTGTTTCTACGCTTTAATGATATACCGTCGCCTAAACAAACAACTAAAAAAATATGTTCGAACGAATATCAACATCGGAAAAACTTTGTCCGAATTTTGGATATGCCGGTATAAAGAGACGTTATTTTAGTAAACAGTTTGTCTGACCTGTTGTCCCAGATAACTTCATTTTTATTCGTTTATTCAAAGGCTGTGTGATGACACCGATAGATGAGATCGCTGCCCCGTAATTTCTACCCACTTTTAATAAACGTACTTCCTAAATTCTTTGAAGTGGAATCTCACTCTAAAGAGTGAAAATTGAGCCAGTTTTGAAAAAGATTTTCAATTCTTTAAGAGTGAGACTTCACTCTTCATAATGACACTTAAAAGTTTTAGGGAATATACTTATGTAGTTCCTTTTTTTTATCTCGTTTCTTTCCTTTTTCTAAAATTGTCTTCGACGCAAATCTTGAGCGAAGCTAATTACAATAAATATTAACGTCTGCCAGGTCGATCAATTTGATGTACTTCTATCCGCTTACAGAAATTCAGAGTTTAATTTTCATAGCAACTTTGTGATCTAATTGCAGAGTAAAGCGGATGAAGATTAGTGAGACGATGAATTTAATTTCCTGAATGTAATTAAACGAGAATCGTATCACTTTCAGATGTCCGCGAATCGATTAAACGTGCTGGTGACCCTGCTGCTCGCCGTCGCGCTTCTTGTGACGGAATCAGGAAACGCACAGGTAGATGGTTATCCCCAATTCAGCTCGAAGCGATCTGCCGTGAGTGCGCCGCAGAAGTATTGCGGCAAGAAGCTTTCGAATGCTCTACAAATAATCTGTGATGGCGTGTACAACTCCATGTTTAAGAAGAGTGGTCAAGGTGAGTTTGAGCTAATCGATAAAGGAAACGCTCTTATCACTCGCTTCCGATATCAAGTCATAGATAAATGTAGTAGTAATAGATCATTACTGAATGCAACAATTTGTGCTTATTTCCCTTTCTTCGCGTGATAACGTTAAGCAATTATGTTTTTAAATGTGTGGACACAAGAGACGCATCGTATTTCATTCTTGATATAATCATAGCTCAAAGCGACTGTTTAACTAGCGGTTATTCGCTGATTATTTCAGCCTTAATAGGCGTCTTTCACCGTTAATTTTTAAATTGTACACGTCTACAAGAAATAAATAATAGGATAATAATAGGATTAAGTCTTAAACATTGTCGTAAATAATTTAATAAAATAATTTTATATCTGAATAATTATAAGTAAAGTTTAGACCGATAAAAATATTTCATTTATATTTCACTTATATCTTATTTGATTTATATTTGTATTTATATAATTAAATATTTTAATTAAGCATTTTTTAATTGGTTATTTGTCGGCATAGTTTTACTCTATCATTAAAATTTATAGAAAAGGAAATACCGACTTTTTTAAGATACACATGAAAATATCCATTATTGATGCTTTCCTTTTAATTTTTTGATTTCCTGAGCAAGCGATCTGCAAGAGGAAAATCACGCGTCCGGAATATGTCATTGACGCTCTTGCGCGCGTGCAAGCATATAATTCAGGAAGTTAATAATAGGAAGTTAAGGAATAATATTAAGGAAGATTTCTCGATGGCAGACGCCTCGTGACAAAATTTGCATTTGTAATGCGGCGACATGGTCATTAATATTAATGCCGTTCGCATTCCTTCTTTCTCGATTAATGTCACCCGCGATGGTGCGACAAATATTTTATAATAAAGACACTGATACTTATCCAGCATAAATGCGAAATTACTAGATATTCGTAAATTTGGATATCGTGGGATATTTGGTGAAAAATATCCATAAACAGACACGTTAATTTGACGTTTCGAACTATCCATTACTCTTAACGTTAAACCTGCATATCTAAAGTGACTCGTTTCGAAGTATGAATAAGGCTTAATTTGCACTAGACGTATAATTAAACGGCTCAATATAAGAATGAGGTCAGCCTATAATTCGTATAGCTCACTTTAGATACAACCTCACGTTTAAAGCGAACATTATAGACTACGCTGGCCACCGATTATAAGGGAACTTTTATCGGTCGGACCCTTCAATTTTAACGGCTTCTCAAGCATGGTCTTTTACAAAAGGCGATTAAGCACGCGATCAATCTGTGCCCGCAATTAACCAAGTAATCGCCACTTTGTCGCCAATGAATAATGCATGTAAGCTGGTATTACGTATTCCCGAGTGGGATCATAAGCCGACGCACTCTCCATAATCGTCGAATGACTTAAATACACCGACAATCGGGGACATTACATTTTTTAGTGACGGCTCTTTACTCGTGGTTTTTTTTTATGAAAACAAAAATTTACAATGGAAATTTACGTAAACTTTTTCGGACACGTAACATAATTTATCACCGAGCTTAATCAATGAAATAGATTCGTATAATCTAACACTGGGATCTAGATGTGCCTGTCCAATTTATTGATGATCGTGGAAAGCAAATTCTCGTTATTTATTTATTCCGAATAATGTGGCATATGCGACACGCATTGTAAATACGGCTCCTCATTTTCTTTTTTAAAACACGTGAAATTTGTCAAACAAAACGTAGGCAAGCATGATGGCACAAATGAAATTATTCTAATTTGATTTTACAAGTACAATTATAATCAATGGCTCTTGCGCTAATTACCGTAGTCGATATTGTTAAAAGTAATGTTTTATTATATAATTTCACACTCAATAATGTAATTCTTATTAACATCTTTTGTTATTTACATTTATATTGTTGAATGCGAAATTATATCATGTTACTTTTAATTAGTGTCAATTGACGATACGTATATAATCTGTTTAAAACTTTAAAATTTTGTTTCCTCTTGTATAAATTACGCTTAAAGGTTCTCTCCATTACTTTCGATCACTAAAAAAGTTTTGAGATTTTCAAACAATGTTTTACTTTGATTTCTTTCACAGCGCGAGAAGAAGCGAATGTCGATAGCAGAGATAGCAACTTCGACTACGTTCGCACCCAAGGTATGACTTTAGAGAGAAAAAGTTTTTGCAATCAAAAGCTTTTTCGAAAATTTCAAACTTTTCTAAATTTTTCCACACGCAAAATAAGAGGCATATTGTAAAAAGTGCAGTTCTTAAAATGTTTACGTTTAAAAAACATCTTTGCAAAGCAATCATTTAATAATAAAAGATATTTCAATTTTAAACGTCTTAAGGCCGGTTGTTCCATCTTTAGATAAACTATGAGATAATTTTTAGTTATTGGATAAACAAAAGAGTAAAAGAGAAACATAAGATAGTAAGAGAGTAAAACAGTGAGCTGAAGTTTACCAAAAGATGGAACAATCCAGCCTAAATATTTAAAAAACGGAGACAAGAATAAAACATTTTAATATCTTAAAATTAAACACTTCTTTTTTTTAGTGCACATACTTAATGTACAGAATAAACGAGAATGAGATATAAAACGAGAGCGCTTATTCCATTAAATATCAGATTTTTGATGTCAGATTTTTATTGACGTGCAATTGAAGTTTATTATCATTTATTAAAGTTACGATATCTATTACAAATTCGTTTTTGTTTCAGAAATGGAAATGGCCGATTATCCAATCGCCTATGAATTTCCCCCATTCTTGCCGCGAGCGAGGGCACGGGGGATGTTAGATGGACGTTTTGCTGGCAGACGTTACCGAAGGCAGGGTCGAGGTATCCACGAGGAATGTTGCATCAACCCGTGTACGATAAATGAATTGACCAGCTACTGCGGCGGCAGAGGAAGCGCTTCGGAGTAACTGGTAACCCTTCGACTTCCGCTTTACTGCTCGATCACCATGCAAACCGAATAATCCCAGAGATACACGCCTCACGCGCATATACCCATACACGTACACACACATAGAGGGACATACACACATTCCACATTACGTACGGTACACGTTGGAAAGTTCACCGGTAAATCGCATCATCGCTCACGTTGGAGACTGACTCGTGATAATTGTGTATACATTTACATATTACATTTTGTATCTGCGATGGAACTGACTTTTTAACGCATGATCGTGCGCGGGATTGTACAATATACTCTTCTCCTTGATTTCTTGTGAACGAGGGGGCACTAGAGGGAAGGCATAAAGATCGAAGAGATCGAAGATATGTTAATTTTACAAGGTGACATCATCAGTAATTCTGCTTCTTTTAAATTAACGACATTTGCCCGACAGTGGGATGCAGATTTTTGCGATTGAGAATGCTTGTTAAGCTTTATTTGTGATAACAGATTATATATAGACCGTTTGAAAGATGAAAAATCTGTTTGATCTAATTTAATTCTCTCTAGCTTTTAAATCTCAAATACTTGTTCTAAATTTAGATGGTTCTTCCTTCACCTGCTCTGCCTTGTCTATGAAAAGACACAAGTCTTTCCTTTACAAATGTAATTTAGTGAAACGGAAATCAGTTTTATAGACAAACTATATTCACAATTGAGAACGTTTAAAAATTATTAATGATCTCTATAAAAGACGTCACTTAAATTAAATTTATTCTCTTTTAAATTATATACGATGTTTACGACATTTTTTTGGAGAAACAATATCAGCGCCTCCATATTTGCCTGATTAACAAAAGTTAAATGGGACAAAAAGAATAAAAACGGACATTAGAAAGAGAAAATAGAACCAATCACGATCTGTTCGCGCGTATCTAACGTGTAATTATAGCGATCATCATATGATCCACGTAAAATGGAAAACATGCATGTTACGTGACTTCATGCTTGCCTTGTTCGAAATCGATTGTAGATTTGAATTCAAAAGCTATTTTTCTCTTTTTTTAATCAGGCAGCGTCAAGTGATATCGCCACGCGATTTTTCAATTCATATAAATGTATTGAAATATTCGCACTTTTTTATTTTTACCTCGTGACTTGCGAGAGTTTCTGCGTATCTATTATCCACTTTCTGTTACATTAGCGAATATCCCGCTCGCGATTTAGGATGCGTTCCGTTTTCACACGCATACACTGTAAGCATCAGATCATCCTTGTTATCTGTCAAATATTAAACAAGAACAAATGATGCTTACGAGCGCTGTAAGCGCGAAACGGAACGTACCCTTAGAAACGTCGGAAAATCTTTTCGCGATTATCGGAGGGATACAGTCTCACTCGCATGGTGATTTTTGGCGACGAAGCATAGAAGGAATAGCTCGAATAGTTTAGTTTCTTGTAACTTTAGTTAATTAACTGTAACTTCTTTTTTTTTTAATATCAAATTCGAGATTCGTTTAACAAATCGGAAGCGAGAACGCATGCAAGTCGTTGCTCGGAGACGCGACGTCACTGTTTGTCGTTGAGCGAATGCTGAATTTAATATAGGACATTACTGTAGCTTGCGTTATTTTTAATCTGCCAGAGGCTGTGACGATTTCAAGGGGCATCTACGACTGTACTGCATATGGTGATATTATTCTTATTCGTAGAACCTGTATTCCCAATTATCCTTCGAGGAAAGGACCAGGATGCGTAAAACGATTGGAAAGTTCATGTTATGCATCTTGCTGTATCGCTCGTATCGGAATGCAGCAAAATCAATATCAGTACAGCTATGTAGAGAAATCTAACTTACGTCCATTTCTACCAAACGTAGATTAACTTTAATCTCGCGTTTACTTACTTTTTATTTTTTTTCTAATTCTTTTCTAGAAATTAGAAAAAGAGTAAATCGAGATAAATATACAGCAAGGAACTTGCAGCAGCATTACTGTAACATTATTGTAAATGTTATTACATTTCTGGAAAGATCTGCTGTATGGAAGTTTATCTACATTTATAGAACTTATACTCGTTTCTACCAATGTAGTTTAATTTTAATCTTGGTTTAATTAATTCTTCATTTTTTGCTAGTTTTAAGAATTAAAAAGGATGAAGAGTAAGTTGAAAAAACCAAGATTAAGGTTGATTTATATATATTGGTAGAAACGGGCATTACACGTTAATTTAATGCAAAGATAATCATATTTATTTTGAAAACAGCTTCAGAAATTGTATTTAAAAGAAGCTAATCCTATATTTTATTCTTACATTGAATTTTTTTTTATTAAATTCAATTGTCAATTGGAGAATTATTGCATTCGCTTACGACGATACACGACAAAGGTGAGCTCATTTAGAAGCATGAAATGATTTTAAGAAAACACGCTTTCGTGTTTGCACTATCGTTTAAATGAAACTTTGATAAGTCGGGAAGATCATGAGTCCTACCTCGAAAGGTATTTACGTTTTCAATAATACAAGCGTATGTAGTAAAGAATAATTTTAATAAGAGAGGGTGTGAATACGTATACGGTATAATACAATGAATACAAGCTGAAATCTGATTTATTTAATGGCTGAACTTACAGTCTGAACGCATGAAAGAAAAAAAAAGAAATGAACGAAATGAATAAGCGTATTGTCGAAGGAGAAAAAAAAACTAAGATTCCAGACGCGTCGTGAACCAAACATGAAGAAAAACGTGGTGTACTCGCCACTGCTGTCATTCACTCGAGAAGTTTTTACATTAATACCGATTCGTTTCTACCGAGTGTTAACTTTCCGTTACGTATTGAGTGATCTCTAAATCGCATGCCATTTACCTCGTCACGCATATCTAGCGTAAGAGCACGTTTCATTCCGAAGTATATTATACTGTTATGCTTTATCACCGAACTTGTTTTAGCGCTTATTCCGATTAACTGAATCTCCTTCCTCTGTCCGTATCGTAGGTAGGTCTAGAAACTTGCGAAGGAATAGCAGATAAACTAATCCGGAGTAAGTTGACGCCGAGTCCATCTCGTCGCGATTTGTGAGGAAAGTTCGGTGACATGGCAAATTCGAAAAAGCGAGTGCACACTTCGTTATCATTATAAAAAGTAATACATAATTATACGTTAACTTTGTTTTATTTATATAATTAATATTTTTCGTAAGTTCTCTCTATGAAGGTATTTCGAAAATTGTTTTATCTTTTATCGCTGTTTTAAGCGCTTGATTCTTTAATCTCAACGGAAATTATGAGTGTATGTAGTAATATATTATGTAATTCATGTATATATATATATATATATATATATATAAATCTTTTTTGAATTTACAATTTGCCGAATTTTCTCTGTCCCAATCATAATGTCCACCTCCGCGCGCGCTCTTCGTCTATTCGTCGCCAGATCTCTCATTGAATAACCCGACAAGGTGATTATAATCGCCAAGGTCGTAAGTTATTGATTAGATGCCAATTATCGTAATCATTTATTATTGATCATCATCGAGATTATTACCGTTCCATTTATACCGCATTAACGCCTTCACGATCATTTTTATCATTTCTCATCACCCCCCCCCGTATCATCATCATAACGAGATGTGATTTTATACATCGTTAACGTTGCTGCCGAGCTTGCTTGAGCGCATTTCGATCGCGCTTCCCGCGTTCTACTTTCGCACTTATTTTCCCATTCCTTCCGCCTTTTCGTTTAGTTCCGGTAATCTCCCTCGCGCGATGACTGTAATACAGCGGAGACGAGTGAGAGTCGAGAAACGATGAAGACAGCGAAAGCAGATTGTATAACGTTAGCGGATAAAATCTCCGACAGCGCACGTTAAGGTATAATCAACTATATCGATCAACCAATATATCACAAGACAGATATGTACGTACAAAGAATCAAACAGATGGTAGATAGCTTTGAATCTACCGAGACTGGATGGAGAGGGAATATTCGGATAGCGTGATTGATGCGAAACGAGATATGCGAAGTATAAACGAATATCCGTTTTCGATATTCCCCGTATTGTTTGTCGATAAACTGTTTATTCGACTTCATCGTGTCCCGGCACATGTCGCTCGGTCTTTCGGTGCGAAGAGAGAAAAACGCGGTAGCCCCTTTTGCTGCGGCTGCGAACGAGAGACAACTTAGACGCTCCGGCGAGAGGAGCGGCGATATATACTACTACTTTGTAGGGCACAGGCGATGTGATTTGTATATTGAGATGTACTTCAACTTAAACGATAAAAAATGAAAATCGTTCCCAAGAAGAATCTGTTCTCTATTCTCCACCATGACCACCCACACTTCGTTCCAATTTCCGTAGCATTCGGCAGTACGAGGACGATTAATCTCAATGATCTCAATTCTACTTGGCGTTACACTTTTATACGCACGGAATGTGCACGTCCTATTAATAATATCACTATTAATTTCCTCTGACAGATGATTCACACGATTACTTGCTTAATGTTACTAATGGTGCGTATATTGATCGCACCCGTCTAACGCAACCTTCGTGCCGACTGATATAACGTTCACGAGGACTTTACATCCGCGAATGTCCGCGAACATTAATCTCTCAGTTTATCTCTAAAATATAAAGAATGCTATATATTGTTGTAAGCTCTAGAAACTGTTTAAAGAGAAAGACAATCGATAATTATTGCTAACATTGCTGCATAAGATACCGTTTCCATGATCGATAGCGTTTCGATAAGCGTTTTCTTCAAATAAAAAATGATTAATAAAAATTTGACCGCTTTAAAAATCGTCTATCTCTTTCATGTTTGTTCGCTGCTTGGATCAGATAATTTCTATTGTTAGAAGGTTAAAGAATAAGATAGCGTTGTGATAGATGAATTGTGTGAAATATTGTAACTTGCGTGACAAAATGGTACACGTGTCTATTTCTCTAGTCATATTTAATATTGCCAATCAATCACTCAGTATCGCCATCAGGCGTTAAAGAAATTTCTCCCATTTTCTTTATCATCCCATTGTCATCTATCTATCTGTTTTCACACATACAGAAAGAATATAATTTGAAAGAATATAATTTATTACAATATATTAATCAATTTTATGGAATAGATAGCATCTTGTGAATTTTGTCTCTGAAAGTACTTAAAGGATAGCCAGCCTTTATCATGTTTAAAAAATATTTTTAATCAATTCTTATCATACTTTTGCGCATTTTGATTTGTAAATTTTTTTTAGAACTTGACAGTCTTGAAAAAAATCTAGATGGACGATTTCATAACGAAATAATTTCATAAAACGTATTAATTTATCAAATTTCTCTGTTTATCAATTGTGTCTATATGAAATAATCATAATATGTAATAATAAAAAATATACATATCACTTGATATTATACGTTTAAATCGAGAGTTGAACTGCTTGATTTTTTTTTATGTAAACCTGGGATATTTTACAGCCCAAAAAAGTTATTATTATTAATAACATATTGTATAAACTATTATTTTCCGATTATTAATATTTGAGAATGTTATAGATAAGAATTTCATCACAATTTTCTGAAAATACAAACTAAACAAATATTAAACGAAATAAACGTTAAGTAGCTTATTATATATAAAAAATAAAGATATAGATAAAAAATAAAAATTTTAATTAATATAACGCTTATTCATTGCAGATTTTCAATGGAATTACATATTTAAGATTTTTTAAGGTAGCCTAGAGAATAGACATAAAAAAAAAGAAATTAAACAATCCAAACAAAACAATATTTTACAATTTACTTTTTCTCGTCGCTGGAGTATAAAAATATTCCAGTGATTATTCCTAAGTTAGTATTTCATACTTATGTATATTTCGGTCTCTTTAAATTTTTAAAAGACTTGATCATCTTGAAAAACCTGAATGCACGATTTCGTAACGAATGTAATAATCTTACAAAATACTACATAATTTACTAAATCTTTCTGCTTGTCAATCTTGTATGACGTATGAGATGTAAAATACAGTTATCATCTGATATACATATTGTTAAAAACAAGTAAACAAATCTAAAATTCGGTGCGCGCCTGATTATCAGTTGTCACATTGATTTTTACGATCAATCAAGTAAAAGTGGTACACAACAGTGGTTTTGTTGATAATGAATAAGTGATTAATTACTGCAAGGACCAATAGAATCTTTAAAAAAAAAAAAACAATGTGCGTGGGATACGACTGCCGAGGGTTGACGGCGCCCGCGCCGTACAGAACCCTATCGGGGTTTCCATGCGTCAGCCCTTTTCCCCTCTTTGGGTACTTTCGACGGTCGCGTGACAGGCTGACATAAACAGCTCGTCACTACGTTGCTGTCGTCCGGGTCAGGATGACTGGAGTGTTAGTATCGATTCACCTAACTGTTGGTTATGCCGCATCGTACGAAATATTTCCGATCGGAGGAGAGCCACGAGACACAAAGAAGATGCGAGCAGATAAGATGTAGTCGGAGACACTGGTGAAGAATGCTCAACTTCCGACAACTTTTATTCGGCACGTTCATATTTGCGACGTGTTACTGTATCACGTACGGACAAAGTAAGCTAGTCAGCTAATTATTCCATTGATTTTTGTTAAAATTTATGTTAATCTTTATTTATTATATAATTCTCTTAAAGCACTAAAAATCTGCGTGAAAAAGATAGGATTAAATGATTGGTACAAAAATTAACCCTCCACTGATAATGTTGGACTTTAATAACACAGTTGAGTTTTTTAATTGTGAATTCTGATAAATTTAAATCTATAAAAAAAAAAGTAAAATACTGCAATCCAATTTTTATGATAGTAAAAACTTGTTAAAACTTTCATATGTATATATATATAAAAATTTTTTTACATTTTTATACTCTTTGCAACGATACAAAAATCTGCTCTAAAGTTCGAAGACCCAAGTTATGGAAAGATGAAAATTTCACATTGCCGGCTG